ATAGCCTTAAATTATTCCCCGTATTTCTTTTAACGTTTATTTTAATAATTTTATAAATATTATTTTAAATCTTATATAATTTATATTATAATTTATATAAAAAAATTAATAAAATTATAAATTTAATTATACGTAATTTAAATTAATATTAATTTAAATGCGGTTAAAAATATAAATTTTAATAAAAGTAATATTAAATAAATAATATAAAACGTATTAAATAAATAATATATTTTACATAATTATATAAATAATAAAATAAGTAAATATTATATAAATATTATTTATATTTTTTATATAATTCATTTAACCACGTATATATTTTTTATAATAACATTATTAAATTTATTAATTTTTTTAAATTATTTAAAATGTATATTTTTTTATTAATTAACCTTATATTATATATATACCATTAAACTTTATATATTTTAAAAATTTATATTAAAACTTTAATTTTAACTTTTTTATTTTAAAATAATTACATGTAATCGTATAATTTTTTATTAATATATACGACCGATTAAAATTATTATAATAAAATGTATAAGTTTTACGTTATAATTAAATTTAATTAATTAAAATGAATTAAATTAAATTAAATTAAATAAAAGGTTATATAAAATAAAATGCGAGATAAAAATATTATTAAACGGGCGGTATAAAATTTAATTAATGGAAAAACGCGCATTTATTAAAAAATAAAATAATTAAAATTTATTAAATAATATAAATGTATAATAACGAATTTATATAAAAGGTAAAATATTTAATAATATATAAAAATCTTATATATTATTTATTTAATACGGGTTATATTATTTATTTAATGTTATTTTTTAATAATAATAATTATTTTAAAGTTTTTTTTAATAATTTTTATTTTTTATAATTTTAATATTTTTTAATTTTAATAATTTTTTTAATATAATTTAAATAAATTTTAAAAAAGTTTTAATATTTAAATAATTAAATAATTAAAATTATAAAATAAAGTTAAATTTTTTATTTATTTATTTTATAAAAATATAATTATATTTATAAAATATATTAAAATAAATTAATAAATATTAATAAAAAAGTTATTTTATATATATAAATGTTTATTTTTTTAATATATTAATTAATTTTTAATTAAATCACGTGTATTTTAAACTGTATTTTTATTAATTTTTTTATTTAAATTTTAATATAATTTATATATAATTTAAATAAAAATTTATAAAATTATTAAAATAAATATATATAAAAAAAAATAAAATAAAATACGTATTTTATTTTATTATACGAGTAATAATAAATATATTATACAATTAATGTTATTTATAATATAAATAACTTATTATATTTTTTTTTAATTATACGTATAAATATATTTAAAATAAATATGTTTTATATAATGTTTAATATATATTTACTTTCTCCCTTTTTTTTTTCCTTATATCTTTTTCCCTTTTAATATTCTTTATCTTTATTAAATCTATCGTTAAATATCAACAACCTTTACTACCATAACTTTTACACTATGGCAAAGTTAACTTGGCTTATCACCGGTGGCTCTAGTGGCTTCGGTGAGCTTTTTGTCCGCCAGCTCACAGCTCAGGGGGACCAGGTCGTCGCGACCGGCCGGAATGCTGAGAGCCGTCTCGCACACCTTGTTGAGACAGGCGCAGCAATACTAGATCTCGATGTCACAGCTCCGCAGGCTGAGATCGAGAAGAAGTTCAAACAGGCATGGGAAGTTTACGGGGTGATCGATGTACTTGTCAATAATGCTGGCTATATTCAGTGCGGAGCGATGGAGGAGATAACGTGTGCCCCCTACCCCTCGCCCTCTTGTCAGAAGCACTGTAATTTCCTATTGGAGCAAACAGTCACAAGGTGTTGTTACACTAACTGAATCGGCATGCAAAAGTCAGGAGGAACTGCAACGCTCCATCGATACCATGGTACATGGTCCTATTAATCTCACACGTGCTGCGCTCCCGTACTTCCGTGAGAGAGGTTCAGGCTGGCTGCTCTACATGAACTCGCAGTCAGGTTTCGTCGGTGAACCGGGCGCGACGGCATACTGTGCCTCAAAGTTTGCCATTGAAGGTAAACCAATCCTCTATTTCTGGGTTGTCCACCGGCCAGTGTTAGAACGGACCGTAAATGACATAGTCCACTAACAATAGCTTTTTGCTAGGCGCGGTTGAGAGTCTTGCAAAGGAGCTCGCCTGGCTTGCCCCTGGAATCAAGCCGCTTATCATCGAGTCCGGCATCCATGGTACTGAGGTTATGGCGAATCTCCAACACGTCACACCGCGAGTGCCGTTCTGGCAACCGCTTAACGAGGCCGCACGCATACGGGCGCGCGGTAACTATGAGAATCCGGCTGGAGACGCAGCCGACATGATCTCTAAGGTGATACAAATCGTTAAGGGCATCGGGGTTGCTGCTGGGAAAACAATCCCGTTGCGCATCCCATTTGGCAGCGACTGTCTGGCTGAGATGCGTAAGAAGATTGAGGACCTACAGAAGACGTACGAGGAGTGGGAGAGCGTGGCTAATAGCACTGACATCGAAGAGGGGAAGAGACCGATGCCTCGTCTTCCCGGATTAGAAGCCGTGTAGTAAATACACTGCAAAAAGAGGGATACATATGTGTGTATATATATCCCTCCTTCGAACCTGTCAGTCTTTAAAATAAAAGTTGCGCTTGAACTTTGACAATGGCGAGGCGAAATAGACTACGCAGATTTTTATGTGATCACCCCTGAACTTTAACCAATTAATGATGGGCTATATGGCTTTATAACTGATTTCACATTCCATAATGAAGCTATTTCTTTTACATTAAAGATCTTATAATATACTAAACATTGGAATCATTAACCTGTAATAGCCGAAATCTCAATCTCGAGGTTTTTCAGCAAGCTGGTCTTCAGTCCCTCCAACCACCCCCTAACAAATTGTTCCTGATAAAAGGCTTCATTATAACAGATGCTCACCCGCATCTCCCCGTCCCAGCTCCAGGCGTGCACGTATAACTGCGGTGACAGCATTTGCACCCCTAGCGCTGCGTCTCGTACCTCGAAGTCTCCGTATCTTCTTTGTATGTAGTTCTCCATGACACCTAGATTACTCAAGTTTGGTTCCGTACTAGGCGGTGACCCTACCAACATTGCCGTTGCTTTCTCGACGTAGGGTACCCGAACGAATATGGTATCGCTACTCGGGGGCGCCAGCGGCTGCGTATAATAGGCCTGGAAGGTCGACGCTAGGGCATCCCAGGATGTTGTCGGGTCGGCGATGAGCGGGAGCGCTACTAAGCGAAGTGATGCTGCGTGCGCTATACCATCGAACGGCGGTGGGCAGTGCTTTCGTAGGTCGAAGGCGCCCCAGCTTTTGTATTTCGCCGCTATGCCAACTTCTGCTGTTCCATCCACCCGTTCTTGATATCGCGCTGTCTCTAGGACGATCGAGGCTTGCAGTGCGGCAGTGAGCTGAATCCCCCGCGCCCGACACGCCTCCCGTACCGCTGCCGTGACAGCCTTCGGGAAAACCGTCTCCGTCCGGACTGTGTTCCCCGGGAGTGCCGGTGTGATGGGCAAGCCGATGGCAGGCGATCCGTCTAGGAAAGGGGCGAGTAGGTCGTCAGCCTTCCGCACCCACTCCTCCTTAGGGACCTCGGGTACGCCAATGACAGTGTCTAGAGTGGGCACCAGATTTATCGCTTCGGCCCCTACGACCGCGGGAATAAGCGGCAGCGTGGAGGAACTGCACGCTAGCAGGTCCATGAAGCTATGCAGCACCATCGTAACCCCCCGTCCGTCCCAGCGCCAGTGTGGGGACACGATGGCCACTTCGCTACTAGTAGGGACCCAATGGCAGGTAGCATGTGCAGACGGGGCGACCTTGAGGTGCCGAGAAAACAGCTCGTCGACAGAATGGACGCCCGTCTCCACGCGGAAGGTAGCGGTGGTCCACCGCTGTAGATCCTGGTTGTCGACCAGGGGCTCATAGCGTTTTTCGTTCTCGTGTAGTGTCAGGGCTACATCCGGATGTCGGCAGCGTAGGGCGCTCCAGGCGGCGCGGAGACGCTGTTCTTGTACCAGGGGTTCCATGGCGGAGGGAAAGCCGATCTGGAGCCAATGGACCATGATCCAGTGCTCGCGGCCTAAGGGGGCTCCAGCCTTGGCAATGGATTGGAATAATCTATCATGGCAATCGAGAGGCCGACGCCAATATGCGCCTTCGTGTGTCCAGGACATGTTTCGATCGTGTTGTAAATAGCTCTGAAACTGATGCAAGGCTTCAAGAGGGGGAAGATTATGTAGATACAGGTACGTAGGTGTGTATACATGGGTGTGTATATAGAAGTGTGTATATTTGGTCAGCTTCCTAGGCTAACATGATCCGAACCAGTCAGCCAGGAAGTAACATAATCAATTGGCCCCAGAGATAACCACGGGGGATATAAATATACATGGATAGTATTTGCCTGGTGTGCCTTTGGTGACACCTCCTTTTCGACATAGGTAACTAGCCATTTTTATGCAGGCAACGCTACAGATCAGTTGAACCGACATGTCAAGTCTATATTACCAGGGTGGCGATCTAGCTAGCTGGCTTGTATTTTCGGTAGCTGTTATCCAGTTTCTGGTCCGTATGAACACTATCGTTTGATCTAAACGCAAATAGCCTGCAGACTAATAAGCAGTTTCTCAATCGTCCAGTTACTCGGAAACGCTATTTACAACTTATTTTTCCACCCGCTTGCAAACGTCCCGGGGCCGTTCTGGGCCCGCGCCAGCGGCATTCCCTCATGGTACCACGCAATGCGCGGAGATCGCCACCTATGGCTATGGCGGCAGTTCCAGGTCTACGGGTACCGGATCAGGCCCGAGCCTAACGCGGTACTATTCCATGACCCTAATGCGTACGTTGATATATATAGTATGAAGTCTAACGTTCGACGGGCTCCCTTCTTTACCGCTTTTAAAAGGGTTGAAAGCGAAAATACAACGTTAACTGAGATCGACGTGGCTAAACACGCCAGAAAACGCAAGTTACTTGCCTTAGGTTTTACTGACCAGTCAGTACGCTCTGCTTCCGAGTTTGTAATTAAGCATATCGATCGCTGGACCCAACTTATCACGCAAGAGATTCAAGATTGTACAAACTGGTCTACTCCTCAAGACTTTTCTAAAATGATAGACTGCTTGATTTTTGATATTATGGGAGACCTTAGTTTTGGCAAGTCGTTTAATATTAAGGAGCCTGGGATTAATCGTTTCAAGGTCATCCCACATAGCATTACAGAGAATTTGCGCTTTTACTACCCGGTATATTCATTTTATTTGTTTCATTTTCTTTACTGATAGTTTGCTAACACTTCCTTAAGATATGTCGCTCTCCCTTTTTACATATATTGCTTTGGCTCAAGCCGCGAGGTTTAAACAAAGTGTTTGAACTTGTTAGCCCGCCAGCTGTTCACGAGTACAACAACTTTGTTTATCAAAGCGTGACTGACCGAATTACCTTACAACGTCAGCAACCTGAGCGGCGCCATGATATGTTTTATTTCCTTTATGAGGCCCGGGATCCTAATACAGGCCAGCGGGTTTACGAAGAGGACGAGCTCCGAGCAGAATGCAGCTTGCTGATCACGGCTGGGTCCGATACAGTCAGTATCAGCCTCTCGAGCATTTTCTTTTACCTGACCGGTGACCCGCAACGGTGCCAAAAGCTTACGAACGAGATCCGCACTACATTCCAGTTAGCCGAGGACATTGTGCATGGCCCGGTACTCCAGGGCTGTGCTTACCTCCGGGCCTGCATCGATGAAGGAATGCGGCTCACGCCCGCCGTTGCGAGTGAACATCCGCGTGAAGTGCTCACCGGCGGGCTAAGAATCCTCGGAGAGTACTACCCTGCGGGCACCATTGTAGGCACAGTCCCATGGGCGAGCTCACGCGACCAGGCAGTGTACGGGGATGACGTAGAGGAGTTTCGGCCGGAGCGTTGGATCGTAGACGTATCCCCTGGCGGGACGACCAAGGAGGACCTGGTCCGGTACAAATCCGGCTTTCACCCCTTCCTCTCCGGACCGGGCGGTTGTATCGGAAGGCACATAGCTATGATGGAGATGACCCTCATTATCGCCCGCACGCTACACCGCTTAGACGTCAGGCGTGCGCCTGGGTCTACTCTAGGAGGCGGGCGGCCAGGTCTCGGGTGGGGTGCTACTGATAAGACGCAGTTACATGTCGAGGATGCATATGTTTCACTCCGCTGCGGACCTGAGGTCCAATTTAGGAAGAGAATCTTATAATATTTTTTCCCAAGTTCGTGTTTGCCGCATCCTGTACTTCTAAACAGCCCCTGCAAGAGCAAATAGAGTACGGCACATAGCTATTTTCGTACGAGTAAACTATGCGGCAGACTTTGGGGTAGCCTCTGGTGTTTTTACGCATGTAAGTTACGCGATTTACATATCTAGGTACACACCCAGTAATACGTTGGTATCGGAAGGATCAGGCCTAGCCAGATATTGCAATAGATGCTCGTTCATCATAACTGTACTCCTCATAATGGTACAGCTTACCAGTTGATAGCACCATGCCTTACATTACCACATTAGCTTTACATACACGACAGACCGACATATGTAGATCCGTTGGTCCTCATGCAATGTCGGAAGATAGATACCATAAATGAAGAGATAGGGAAATATTGTACAAGTCAAGCGATCTTCGGTCGCACAAGGTATGATGGGCAGGTAAAATAGATGAATTCGTAAAGTCCTACATTCTTTACGTTTATTCATACGTAATATGTCTATGAAATCCATTCACCTTGGCTGCTTAGAAGTAACATAGTCACTACCGACAACCAATCAAACTACAAGTCTTCGTTTGTCCTACCCCACCATTCATCAGAGAGGCGGAGAGGTTACAGTGATCAGGGTTATATATGCAGTTGGCAGTTGTCTCGAAACAATAATATGCCCTTTTTGCGAATTAAGAATCAGGGGTTTTCCACCTCGTTGCCGTAACTAACGTCTCACAATGACTGCCTTTGTCCCAAGATAGCAGGTTACAGTGCTTGAAATCTGCAATGTGCTACGGATTCAAGAGTGACTGATACTTAATGATGTGTAGTGGGAGGCTTGAAGGATTGCAACTCACTCCTTCTCTCCTACCCTCCTCCAGTGGGAGTGAAAATTCTTCATCAACCAAGAGACTCTCAAGGGAGGCTGATAGGTTAATATTTACTGGGCCCTGTTGTCATTGCACAAGGAATCAAGACTACCCGTTCTTACCGCTTAACCTATGGTAGGTAGGTACGGCTTGAAATTTGGAGTAAATAAGTGTGCTACTATTATGGTTATGATTTTCAAATGCGAATACTTCTATTGTGAGTACAATATTTGTTTAAACGCTAGAAATATTCTTTTCATGATAATTAAATTCTATAAAGAATTCTTAATATTATAACCTATTATAGACACGAATAAATACAGGATAATTTAAATATATATGCGAAAATAAGAGACTCTCCTCGTAGTTGATACCATGTTAAGTATCAATGTATATATGTAAAAATGAATTAAATTGTCGATTATGTGACTCGTACACTCCTAGAGACCATAATCGAGCGTGACGGGATATCACCTAGCGCGTGTGCTTCGACGATACCATCGGCGGAAGCTGAGACGACGTGAGCGTCGCTCTCACCTTCACACATGCGGTAGTATTCTGAGCGGTCGGTCAAGTCTTTAGCGTTGCGGCCATTTATTATACCACTATGGCTGGAAGTATCGGATACGCTGAATCCTATGGCTCGCTTTATTTGTATCAATCCTTTACGTGATAAATTGAGCAAGGGGCCATATGTTGGTAGACAGGCGCATAGGACTGCGATTCCCAGCTGAATTGATGAGAGAGCCTGTACTTGGGAGATCGAAACAGTTTCGGGAGCTTGGGGATGCCAGATATAGACCATCCTAACTATACTAGCAACACACACCCTGTTGTTAGAGAGGGAAGAAAATGTGAGCGAAAGACCAGCTAGATGGAGAACATCAGACAACGCGTTACTTACAAACTACCCAGGAGGAAGATACTCGCGACAGACCACTTTTGCGCCGTACGTAACCGGAGACGGTGCACCATCACAATTGGTAAAACCAGTACCAGCACATCCAGGAAAAAATTGGTTAACTCGTATCCTAGCCAGAGAGGTCCGCTGGCAATGCAATATTCCGTCGAGCCAAAATGCTCCCATAGGGCGCTAGGGGGATTACACTGAAATATATTGCAGAAGGCAAATACGATGAACCAGACGATGCATAGCACGCAAGCAGCCGAGTTCCAACGCTGGAAGGGCTTGGAGATGGCGAAGATATCGCGGTAGAATGCTAAGATAGAGAGCTTGACCGAGGTGATGGCTAAACCGAAGAACAAATCTCCAACATATAGCTCCTCGAGAGCGCCAGTTAGCCAACCAGCGAGGGAAGAATGGAAGAAGGCGGCCAGACGCAAGGATAATAGGTGCGAAATTACTTACTTTCATCATTGCTGCCGCCCAATCCGCCCCTCCGTTTGTGTAGTTGAGTGCGATATCGTTCATGTCGTATGTCCCCGGCCCTGGGCCAGCAACAATATCTGTATATGCATCGGCTATCAGGTTCCTTCGACATAACTGACGAGCACTCCTTTAATGTTGTGGGATATGAAGGTCTTACATTGAACGATTAAACCAGTGTTTACGCCTATCATTGCTAGGCCGACTAGGATTAGCCAGTCAGACCATGATAGCGGTATCCTAGCCCATCTTCGAAGGGCTAGTCGAACTGTGACTGAGACGACGGAGAGAGCCAACATGGACACCGCGGCCCGGAGGTTGGTGGTACCACTGTGGCTAAGTTCTTTCATGTCGAAGATTATGAATATGTGGTGTATTCAGTATTACACTCTGGCAAGAGATTAACTTGTCAAACCAAGATGCTCATTTGTAAGGACGGATAGTGATAGATAAAGGTTACAATAGTATAGGTACTTAGGTTACCCTCTTTGAAAGGGAACGAGGCTGAGGTTCCTCGAGCCTGCAGGAAGTAGCAAATTTTTAAGCGACGGCAGTTATGTTTGGTGTGACAGACACCATGGTGTCTCGGCAAGGAATATCAGATCACTAAGCCTGCAAGCTTGATTTCCACGTCGATATAAAAGTACAGTGGTGCTGACCACCATACCAGTTGGGTCGAGAGGCGGGTGTGGTTCGCCAAGGTTTGATCAACCACCCCCAACCTACATATCATACATAGTCTTTGTCACACCTATAGAGTCAAGGGTTATGGGAATACGATGGCTTGCTGACTGCATGAAGATGTCAGATTATTGGCACTATCTTCTCGGAAGCGGGAGAGCCCTATTCGCGGGGTCACTCACAGGCCAGACGGGTATAGTATTATCTAGGTACTAGCAGACGCCCCTATTCCTTTTACGGATACCCCATGGGTATGCAATGTACAGGCTAACCAGCCTGGCCAGGGCCATCCGTCGAGAACTGACGTAGGAGGTAGTTAGAGTGAGATAGGGTTAGGATACGAATATAATTGGTATGGCTCTAACGAGTATATACATCACATGTGTAAATCACGACGCGTTGCTCTCTGAATAGACGGATTGGGCCAGTACATTGTAGGACTACCTATTCATGCATAGTAATTTATAACTGGGAACGCAGTAGGCGCTCTGATAGAATGCTATAAATCGTAATAAGTTGTACGGGTCACGGCAAGATCATAGTTAACTCACAAAACCCTCTCTCTTATCGTCCCACTTAACGCTTGATTTGCACGAGCTCTTGTAATGGATCATGTTAGGGATAACGCCTCGCCGGCCACTCAAATGGACCGGCTGGAGCCCATCGCCGTCGTAGGCTTCTCTATGTGCTTTCCGGAGGATGCTACATCCCCGGAGGGTCTCTGGGAGATCCTCTGTAACGGGAGGAATGTCATGACTGAGGTGCCTCCGGATCGGTTCAACATCAATGGCTTCTACCATCCGGACCCTACGCGCCCTGATACTGTACGTACCTCGATTTTCAACCTAGGAGAGGTATATCGGCGCTCACACTTGAATAGATCAATGCCCGGGGAGGTCACTTCTTGAAGGAGGATATCGCTGCTTTCGATGCACCCTTCTTTTCTATGAACCCCTCTGAAGTGGAAAGTATGGACCCGCAGCAGAGAATCTTGCTCGAGGCGTCATACCACGCTCTTGAAAATGGTAAGTTGACCTAACCTACCTACATTGGTGATACCTTCCTGGAGTATTTTTTATTTGCTAAATTCGTATGCTTCGCTTAGCTGGTATACCAATCCAAAATGTGGCTGGGTCGAAGAGTGCTGTCTATGTGGGCTGCGTTGGTGTTGATTATAACAGCCTTTTCGAAACAGACGAGGAGGTCCGCGCTATTTATAAGGCGACAGGTAATGCGGATGCTATTCTGGCGAACAGGATTAGCTGGTTCTATGATTTGAGGGGTCCGAGCATGACTATCGAGACAGCATGCTCTAGTAGCATGGTGGCACTCCATCTTGCTTGCCAAAGCCTTCGTGTAGGTGAATCAAAAATAGTAAGTTTAGGTTAATCGTTACCTGACATTACCAGTCGAGCTAATCTTGAAACAAAGGGTATCGTGGCTGGCACGCAGCTTTATCTTGACCCTCTCACAAGTGCCATATCGTTGTCCTCTCTCGGATTTATGTCGTCTGATAGTCGTTGCCTTAGCTTCGACGATGAGGGGAACGGGTATGCAAAAGGTGAAGGTGTTGGCGTTCTAGTCATAAAACCGCTAAGGGACGCGTTGGCCAACGGCGATACCATTCGTGCTGTGATCCGCTCCACCATCACAAATCAGGACGGCCGAACACCTGGTATTACACAGCCAAGCCTGGCTGCTCAGGAGGAACAAATCCGTGAAGCCTATCAAATTGGTGGCCTTGACCTCCGTAGTACCCGTCTTTTTGAAGCTCACGGGACTGGCACTGCCATGGGCGACCCGATCGAAGCCGAAGCCATCAAGAGGGTCTTCCAGGAGTATCGAAGCAGCGAGCATCCTATGTACGTAGGCGCCGTAAAATCCAACATCGGACATCTCGAGGCAGTCGCAGGGCTTGCCGGCGTCATTAAGGTAATTCTTTGCCTTGAAAGGGGCATCATTCCTCCTATTTCTGGCTTCAAGACTCTGAATCGCAGACTGAAGGCGGATGAATGGCATCTGCGATTTCCCACTGAGCTTGTCCCGTGGCCTTGTAGTGGCCTCCGTCGGGCCTCGGTTAATTCGTTCGGATACGGAGGCTCTAACGCCCACGTTGTTATTGACGACGCATATAACTATATGCGCGAGCGAAACCTCCAGGGTAACCATTGTACCGTGGAGGCGCCACCAACAAATGTGGATCTCGGGAAAGGCCTGCCTAATAGCGATGATGTAGATGGCATCTTGATATCCAGAAACGTGACCAGCAACGAATTGCACAGCGGAACTCTCAGTAACGCTACCAATGGAAACACAACGAGCAACTTGTATCTTTTCGTATGGTCCACCTTGGACGCTGCGGGAATCGAAAGACTTGGGCCCGCGTACCGAGACTATTTGTCCCAGAGACGCCCTGTAAGCGACGTTGCTGGTTTTCTCCAGAACCTTGCCTTTACACTTTCCGATAGGAGAAGTTGGCTGCCCTGGAAGTCCTATATTGTTGCGAATTCTTACGATGATTTGGTGGAAAAACTAGATCGTATACCAAAGCCTTCGCGGTCATCCGTCCCTCCAAGGCTAAACTTCATCTTCACAGGTCAAGGGGCTCAATGGGCTACAATGGGCTTGGAGCTACTCTCTCATCCTGCTACCAAAGACTGCCTCGTCCAAGCAGAAAAGCATTTCAAGTCCCTGGGGAGCGATTGGTCGCTCGTGGAGGAGCTGAAGAAAGTCAATGAATCGTCAAGATTGAATGACCCTATCCTAGCTCAGCCGGTTTGCACCGCCCTGCAGGTTGCGCTAGTAGAACTTCTTGCATCTTGGGGCGTGTATCCTCAAGGCGTTGTTGGCCACTCTTCCGGTGAAATCGCTGCCGCCTTCTGTGCTGGCGCTTTTGATAGAGAGACTGCCTGGACCATTGCATACTTCCGCGGCGTACTGGTGGGCAAGCTTGCTGCGGCACCTGTGGGTTCGAAAGATCGCGGTGCTATGATGTCTGTACAGCTTTCTGAATCAGAACTCCGCCCATACTTTAAAGAACTCGCGCAGAATGCGCAGTTAGGTGATGTGGCTATCGGATGCGAGAACAGCCCCTCCAATCTCACATTGACTGGATCGGAGACAGCCATCGACTTTCTCAAGGAACGGCTTGATAGCGACGGCATCTTTTCTAAAAAGCTGGCAATATCAGCTGCCTACCACTCTACTCATATGGAGGTAGTAGCGGATGAATACCTCGAACGTCTCCGGTCGATACATAGACCGCAGCCCTTACCGCGGGAACAGGTGAAGCGTATTCCACTCTTTGTGTCGTCTGTAACGGGTAATACAATCTCTTTGGATCAGCTCTCCCAACTCTCCCAACCAGAGTATTGGGTGAGGAACTTGGTTTCGCGGGTCAGATTCGCCGAGGCAGTGGCCCAGCTTCACTCAAATTCTCCCGATACTCCCCTTGGGAATCAAGTCAACTATTATATCGAAGTCGGACCGCATCCTGCCATGCAAAGATCTGTTAAGGATACGGTGCCAACCACGGAGGGTATGCAATACGATGCCACTCTTCGGCGTGGCGTAGATTCTATAGAGACACTTATGAATCTGGCAGGAAGACTTTTTACGGCGGGATATCCTATCAACATCCAAGGGGTCAATACCCATAAACCCATAAGTGAGCCACCTCGGATGCTTCCCGACTTACCAAAATATCCGTTCAACCATTCTCAGAGATATTGGTTGGAGAGCAGGCTTGTCAAGAATTACCGGCAACGTAGCAAGATTAGACACGAGCTGCTGGGCCTTCCCGTTACCGACTGGAATCCCCTAAAGCCCAGATGGAGACATACGATCCGGAATACGGATCTTCCTTGGTTGAAAGACCACCAAGTAAGTACATCACGGACGGGCATTTCCTAGTATTTTACACTCATAAATATGTAGCTCAACGGTACATTGCTATATCCTGGCGCGGGCATGTTAGCTATGGTTATTGAAGCTGCAAGGTTTATCGCTAGACCCGACTTAGTCGTTAGAGGATACCGCTTCCGGGACGTCACGATCCATAGCGCACTCGTGGTGCCGTTCGGGGCTGACGGTGTTGAAGTCCAGCTCTACATGCAGAACCAAAAGAACAGCCGGACGACAGGAATCACCACGATCGAGTGTAGGGAATTTTGTCTATCCTCGTGTATCGATAACGAATGGAAGGATATCTGTTCAGGCCTCATTACCACGGAATACGCCGAGAAATCAAGCGGTATATACGACACCGAAGAAGATGCACAGAATTTTAGAAGCTTTATCCAGTCTAGATTGCAGGAAATCATGGAGAACTGCCCGGAAAAAACAAGCGAAGAGCGCGTGTACCAAATGGGCAGGCAGATTGGCTTCGAATTTGGCCCTACATTCCAAACCCTCTCGGACATCTCATACGACCCAGCCGGGAGATACTCTATCGCGACCATAATATTAGATGAGTGGATGTCGAAGTTTCCGATAAAACCAATAGTTGAGCCCCATGTGATCCATCCCACTACTCTCGATGGGGTGTTACAGACCATGTCGGTCATGATGCACAGAGGCGGGAGCGAGCCAGCACCACTACATGCACCGACGCAGTTCCAAGAGGTCTGGATATCTAATGGACTTCTAGAAAGGAATCCCGATGCCAAGATTCGAGTGGGTGCGAAGATAACTCGTTACGCAGTCCGTGACCTCGATGCCTCTATCACTGCTATCAACGTAGAGACGATGGAGCCAGTTATCACGATGGAGGGTTATCGAGTCACCACACTGTCAACGCAGACCTACAAACCATCGGAGAGGCGTAATCTCTTTTATAGATTGGAATGGAAACCAGACGTGGAGTTACTTGGCCAGTTGGAGGCGGAAAAATACTGCATCGAGGAGGTGGGTACGCGTCTTGAATGGGATCCTATACAAAAAATCGTTTGCCTGTACTACATGACTGAGGCACTTCGCGAGCTGGACCAGGAGGATTTTAAAAGCCCAAAGCATCACCTTCAGAGGTACCAGAGTTGGATGCGTTACCATTTGGAAGGGCTAGGTGATAATAACCCTCTCCTTCATTCACCTTGGAAAGAAAAATTGGCTCTAGAGAATAAAGAGCACTTCATCGCCGAGTTCATCATGAAAGGCCGGGTCGAGAGGGGCTTACAAGCTTTCTGCTCCCAGCTGCCCCAAATCATCCGAAACGAGGTTGATCCATTAGATTTACTCTTCAACCAGGGCTTGGCTAATGACATCTACTCCGACGACGTTTTTGTCGTCACAGGCAAGCGGGCAGCAGCCTTTGTGGATCTCGTTGCGCACAAGAACCCTAACATGGATATCCTCGAGATTGGTGCTGGCACTGGGACGGCTACGGATCCGATCCTGGCCTCCCTTTTGCCGCAGGGAGACCACCAGGCCACTCCAAAGTACAACAGCTACACTTTTACCGACATATCTCCAAGTTTTTTTGAGAAGGCCGCAAGTCGCCTCGCACATCATGCCGATCGTATGGTATTCAAGACGTTGGACATTGAACAAGATCCTTCCGGGCAAGGATTTGAAAGTAGGAAATACGACATGATGATTGCCGCTGCAGTGCTCCATGCTACTGCTGATATTAGAGAGACCCTAAAGAATACAAATTCCCTCCTCAAGCCGGGCGGCTACCTGGTTATGGTTGAACCGACAAACAAATGGGGTACCGTCTCTGATAGTGTTTGGGGAACATTGCCTGGCTGGTGGAGAGGCACAGAGTACGACCGCCAGCAGGGCCCCCTTTACTCCCGACCAGAGTGGGAGACCTGTTTAAAAGAGAGTGGGTTTACTGGTATCGAGCTCTGTGTTCCTGATCACGCTGAAGAGGATCATCATACCCTTAGTCTCATGGTCTCGAAACTGGCCCCCGAGAGTGGTGTCACTACGCAAGCGCCCACTCTCCGGTCCATAATAATCTCAGCGGACACTGAGCTCCAACAAGATGTAGCTTTGGACATGGCTTCCTATATGAAAGAATTAAAACATGTATCGAGTTGTGATATCGTTGGCCCCAACTCTTTGCTTTCTAAAAAAGATGAGATTGACGTCTTGGTGGCTTTGCTGGAACTCGAAGACCCATTTTTTAGCTCAATGACGGAGGAAAAATTGGCCATCATCAAGTCCATAGTTGATTCTTCGAAACGGGTCTATTGGTTTACGAGCGGTGGCGGTGCCAAAGCGTTACAGCCGGAGAAGGCTATGTCTTCCGGCTTCGGTCGTGCTATCACGCAAGAATACCCGGGTCTTTGGTTCGCCAGTGTCGATGTGGATGATCCGAAGACAGCCGCTGAGATATTTGCGAGAGTGTTCGAGCAGAGCATAGGGGTAGCCGATAGCGAAGATTGGGAATCCGAATATCAGCAATCCGACGGAGTTGTCTTAATCCCGCGTGTAGTCGAGGCGGACGAGATTAATGCCTTTACGCACTCGCAGACGGGCCGGCCCGCGATCGAAACCAAGGCGGTTGGCAAGGAACCGACCGAGGCACTGGAGCTACAGTACAGCGTTGGTCAGCTTGACGGCTTCCGTTTCGTCCGCGACGAATCGGCCGAAAAAGCTCTCCTGGATGACGAGGTGGAGGTCGAGATTAAGGCGACAGGTGTTAACTTTATCGACGTCATGGTCATACTAGGACAATTAGCCGGTACTCATTTCGGCTGCGAGTACTGTGGCGTAGTAAGACGGGTCGGATCAGCGGTTAACACGCTCGCCCTCGGAGACCGTGTCTGTTTCCTCGGAGCAGACGGCTTCAGGACGTACGTCCGATGCAAAGCTTTCATCGCAGCTCGAATTCCAGACTCTCTCCCCTTCACCGACGTGTTTCCGGCCGTTTATCTCACCACAATCCACAGCCTCAACCACGTCGCCCACTTGCGCAAGGGCGAGTCCATCCTAGTCCACGCGGCAGCCGGCGGTGTCGGACAGGCAGCAGTCCAGCTGGCGCAGCACATAGGCGCCGACGTCTTCGTCACAGTCAGCTCGGCTGAGAAGCGCAGGCTGATGCAGGAGCAATACAACATCCCTAACGACCGCATCTTTTACAGCCGTAACCTCTCCTTCGGTCGGCAGATCATGCAGGTTACCAAGGGCCGTGGCGTCGATGTGGTCCTGAATTCGCTGTCGGGAGAGGCGCTCGCCGAGTCCCTGCGCATCCTCGCGCCACTAGGACGCTTTGTAGAGATTGGAAAGCGAGACATCCACACATTCCAGAATCTCCCCATGCAGCCATTTGTCAGGAACGTGTCATACCACGCAGTTAACACCAAGTCAGTCGAACATTACAACCCAGCCCATATGCGTGAGCTTGTGCTCGAGCTGGTCGATATGCTCGCCGCAGGCACCTTCCGACCCCCACGACCCGTGAGCGTCTTCACGAGGGGCCAATTCGAGTCCGCGATCCGGTATCTGCAGACGGGGAGGCACATGGGCAAGGCCGTTGTCGACTGGGAGGCTGAGGCTGAGATCCCCATGGTGCCAAGTCCCAAGCCAGCGTCCACTTTCGATCCAAATGCTAGCTACGTAATCGCCGGCGGCTTGGGTGGTATCGGTAGGAGTCTCGCCGCGTGGTTGAGCCGCGGCGGCGCAAAACACCTCATCTTGCTTTCACGCTCGGGCCCAACATCTGAGGCCGCGACGAAGTTGATCAAGGAACTTGTGGCGCGCGGCGTGAGTGTCACCACGCCTCGGTGCGACGTGAGCGATGCCGAGTCTCTGAAGGGTGTAATTGATTATGCCACCAAGACAATGCCTCCTATCAAAGGATGTATTCAGGCCTCCATGGTCTTGAAGGTATGCCACTCTTAATAATTTAATACTTTATGCATAACTCAACTGACCTAATTCTCCTGCTTCTAGGATCGGGTGCTCCAAAATATGACGCTGGATGAATGGCAAGCTGTTCTTGGCCCTAAGCTTAGTGGGACGTGGAACTTACACCGCATTCTTCCTAAGAAGATGGACTTCTTCGTCATCCTCTCCTCCACTGGTGGAATGATTGGCTCGGCCGGCCAGTCGCAGTATAATGCGGCCTCAACCTTCCAGGATGCCTTCGCGCGGCACCGCTGGTCCTTGGGCGAGAGGTGCGTCTCAGTCGACGTTGGCGTCGTCCAGGACGTTGGCTACGTGGCCGAGCACAGTGACATCGCTAAACGTTGGAACGAAAGTAAGATTCAGGTTCTCGCTGAGAAGGACCTGCTCGCGGTCATCGATTGGGCGTGCAACTACCCAGACCTAGAATGCGGCCAGCTTCCGAACACCACCACGTTATTGTCTTCCTGGTCTACCCAAATCATCACGGGAGCGGGACCGGCGACCAAGGTGGACCAACAGGCCATGGATTCAATGCCGTACCTAAAGCAGCCCCTATTCCGCGCCTTGAGACAAACAAACGCACACGGAGCGGGAGCCGGCACTCAGGTGAGGACTCAAGAAGAAAAGACAGATTACGGCGTCCTGCTACGCGCGGCCGGAAGCCTGGACGAGGCCGGCGCTATCGTTGCGGCCGCATTAGGGAAGAAGTTAGCGCGCGCCCTGTCCGTTCCCGAAGAAGACATCGATATCATGAGGCCAGCCCACTCTTACGGAGTTGACTCATTGGTTGCCGTGGAGCTGCGGTTCTGGTTTTCTAACGAGATGAAGTCAGACATTTCCGTGTTTAACATCTTAGCTAACGACCCTATCTTAGCCTTGGGACGATTCGCAGCGGGAAAAAGTGAGCATTTATTAAAGTCGTAAATGAGTGGGTTGTTAAATGAATCAACTTGATAAAAGAAAGAAGAAGAAATAAAATTTAAATTTTTTTATAATTAATTATTAATATATAATATACTTTTATAATATTATTATAAATAATTAAACGTTTTAATGAATAAATAATACTATATATATTATATTTTAAATTTATTCGCTTAATAAATTATATAAATATATAATGGATATTATTAATTATTCTTACATGTTGGATAACCTAGACCTTTTCCCGCTCGCGTCCATTTCGGAACTTTTGTCCTCGACCATTTCCACCAGTACATTACACACTCAACCATGTGGCATACAGTCGCCGCAAACATCGAACGACGTCGCCACGCCACTAGTTGTGCTGATGATGTACCCACCAATGGGAATATCCGACGTCGGCATTCTTGAACTTCTCGATTCTGATCCTAGACCGACCTTCATCGTCGCGATTGCTCCGGCACAGTCGCCGCAGCCAATCTATGCGAACCCCGCCTTACGCCAAAAACCCTCTCTACACGCGCGGCTCGTCGAGTTATCTCAGTCGCGTCATGGATCTTTTTGGGACTGGGCGACCGCTCCTATCCCCTGTAGTCCGAGCCTAGGCCACACGTCCCTTTTCGAGAGTATAATCTGGACGCGGTCGATTGTCGGTAATAAATGGGCTGTTATTGGTGGAAATCATGGTTTGACATCGGAAGAAGACATCCATGGCAGGAGGGCCTCACATAGCCGGGGAAATAGCAATAGTATCCTACACGATAGCGCCCTATCCGTAGCTTCAGAAGATGGAGATTATGGTTGGACGCCTCCGGATTTCATGCTAGATCAGGAGTCCTTCGTTCATGTAATCAATACTTTGGACTGGGCGGCCACACCTCTCGGTCCGCTGTCCCTCTGGCCTCCTCTCCTTCAGCAAACTTTCAACCAGGTTCTTGCTGACTCGAGACCTATTGTTATATACTGGGGTGACCACTTGACGACTCTATACAACGAAGCATTCAGCCAGTTGTGTGGCTCCAAGCATCCTGCTTTATTGGGGAAGTCGGTAGAAGACGCTTGGCCTGATTTCTGCGAAAAGATCAAGCTGGCAATGTCTTCGATGGCCTCAAAACAGCGTACAGGCAATGAGGATGAGTGGCGTTTCTTTGTAGAGAAAGCCGATGGGAGTTCTGAAGAGAAGTATCTCAAGTGGTCTATGATACCTATCACCGAGAAGAACAAGTGTCTTGGTTTTATCCAGCCTATCCAAGACACAACTTCTATGAGACTTTGGGAGAGACGTATGCAAATGCTGATTGATTTAGGCGACACTCTGGTCACTGCCCGTGACGTCAAGTCCTACTGGGCTAAACTCATCCAAGAACTCGAGGCGTGCCAGCCTACCTACGATATTCCCCTTGCTATCCTCTACTCGGTTGAGGAAGACCCAGAGTCGTCGTCTGCAGGAAAAGCTGGCCGACTGGAAGGCTGTCTGGGTATTCCAAAGGATCATCCTATAGCTCCCCCGAAGTTACGGCTAGATGGAAGCGATCTAGGGTTGTCTTCATCCTTTAGAGAGGCTCTCGAATCGCAGACCCCAATACTGTTGCAGATCAAGAATGGGACATTGCCAGAGTCGCTGCTCGAGGGTCTACAATGGCGTGGTTTCAAAGACCCTTGCCATGAGGCTATCATTTGCCCTATACGACCAACAAAAGATGAGCATGTGCTAGGCTTGCTCTTGCTCGGGCTCAATCCTCGTCGTCCGTACGACAATGACTACCAGCAATATATTTCCTTGCTGGGTCAGAAGCTGACCACGACCCTAGCGTCTACCGTGCTTCTAGAGGAGGAAGCACGAAGGGGTCGCAATATCGCCGAGCAAGCCGCGTATGACCAGGCGATGCTCGCAATGCAGACGAAAGAAGCTACGGAGTCTGTCCAAAAGTTCCAGCAAATCGCCGAATTCATCCCAGTTGGAATGTGCTTCGGCAATCATCGTGGCAATATCACATTTGCTAATGATGCCTGGCATCGCATCACTGGCGCTCCCCAAGTAAATCCACTTACACCCGAGGGTTTCTTGTCTTGCGTCATCGAGGAAGACAAACCCAATGTACAGCGAGCATATGAAGAACTTCAACGGACTCTTACTGTGACTATTGAGCTGAGAGTTCGACGGCCGATAGAAGATAATTATCCCCTTCAGCATCCCATCGGAAGCTCTCCTAGTTTCGAGAAGGCCGGTCTGGACCTTGATGAGGGGGACGGCGGGGTCCGGCACGTTTTGGCTTCCTTGAAAGCTGAACGGGGCCCTAGTGGTAACATCAATCAGGTTTTAGCATGTTTGACAGATGTGACTTTACATAGAAAGGCCGCCGAAGAAGCAATCCGCAAGGCCCAACAGGCAGAGAATCTCAAACGGTAAGTACTAATATTTCAACATCTACATCACCCCTGCCTTCCACGTAACAATCCATATTCCTTAAGTCTTAGAGAGTCTCGAAAATGCGCAAAACAAAGCCGCAAAATAAACCCGAAGCCTACGAATGGCCAGAGAACTAACTTCACCTGCTATAGGATGGCACAGCTCGCTACGGTGGGGATGTACGACATGGCTCTCGACGGCCGTTTGATCGGAGCCAACAATGTGTTCTACGAAATGTGCGGCCTGGAGAGAGTGGACCTCTCCCAAGTGTCAGTTAAGCCATTCGAATTTTGTGTCGTGGATGAGGACATGCCGGTCCTAGAGAAGACGCTTGCCACCCTCGTTAAAGAGTGCAAATCGCAGACTGCCGAACTTCGGTTAAAGACATTGTGGACTGAAACAGATACTACTGGAGAACAGATTACCGCACCACGTTGGGTCCTTGCTACCTTTATGCCAGTGAGTAACTCGGAGGGGCAGATTCAGACTTTTACGGGCTGCCTGAGTGATGTCTCGTTACAAAAATGGCAATTCGAAAAGGAGCGGCAACGGAAGGACGAGGCGATCGAATCAAAGCGTCAACAAGAGAACTTTATCGACATGACTTCGCACGAGATGCGTAATCCTCTAAGTGCCATTGTTCAATGTGCCGATGCGGTTATCGGGTGCCTCACCAAGGCCCAAGAATTGATCGATTCAATGTCTGCGAAGCCTGATCGAAACGGCGTGTTGAACTCCCCCACAGCTGATACCCCGGGCCGCGTCTGGAAGGAAGGATCCCAGTTAGTGAAAGACAGTATAGACAACGCAGAGACAATAATCGCCTGTGCGCAGCATCAAAAACGAATTGTCGATGACATCTTGACAATGTCCAAGCTGGACTCGAATCTTCTATCCATTACTCCGATTACGGTTAATCCTATCCACATTGCACAAGAGGCCTTCAAGATGTTCGAGGTGGAAGCTCGTAGAGTCGATATCGATTTGACCATGGTAGTTGATCAATCTTATAACAAGCTCAATATCGAGTTTCTGGATTTAGATCCTTCTCGACTGAAACAAGTTCTTATTAATCTCCTGACAAACGCCTTAAAATTCACCAAGAATGGACCGACGAGAAATGTTTCGATTACGATGAGTGCTTCCAAGACCCGTCCAGAGGATCATGCCTCTTCGGTCCAATTTATCCCACGCGCATTGGAAACTATATGGCAAGGTGATAGGCCATCTTCGCCAATACCCGAGGAGAACAGGATCTATCTTATGTTCGAAGTTAAGGATACTGGGCAAGGACTCACTGAAGAAGAGAAGTCTTCCCTATTCCAACGCTTCGTCCAGGCCAATTCGAAAACCCATGTGAAATATGGAGGTTCGGGGCTCGGACTGTTTATCAGCCGCAGGCTCACGGAAATGCAGAATGGCGCTATTGGAGTAGCATCTAGTCCTGGTCAAGGTTCGACTTTTGCATTCTATATTGAAGCTCAGGTGCCGAGTGAAGAGGCATTCAGAGAGGCTCGGGCAGCTGCGGAGGCCGTCGGCCACATCCTGAAGACAACAAGCAGCGGCGCTGGCAAAGCATCAAACAGGGGCCCGTTTACCATGACAAAGCCAGGCAAGAGGCTACTCACGCCACAAATCGAAGGTGTCCTTCTAGTCGAAGATAACCTTATCAACCAGCAGATCACCCGTCGTGATCTTCAGAATAGCGGATGTTCGGTCGAAGTAGCCAATCACGGAGTAGAGGCTCTGGAGAAACTTGAGCACACGAACCGTGCGGATGGGCAATTTCCACTTAGCCTTATCTTGATGGACATTGAGATGCCCATACAGGACGGTCTCACCTGCACGCGCAAAATCAGAGAGCTAGAGAAGACGGGTCATCTTAAGGGGCCACGGATACCTATCATCGCAGTCAGTGCCAACGCGCGCATGGAACAGATTTTAGAGGCTAAGGCCGCCGGATGTGATGACGTATTGGTGAAGCCGTTTCGGATTCCCGAGTTGATTGAGAAGATGATGACTGTAACAAAACAGCTTGAAAGGTTTGGTTGAGGCTGATGCCGAATGTTTTATAATATCGGCTTTCTATCGTTACTTTTAGTATTGTTGGTCTCATCTTTACGTGGGCTGCCTCCCTCCTCTTTCTTGCCCCCTGTTACAGTCTCATAGACTTGCATTCATCGCATCATCTATATTGAGCTGGTTTGTTTATTTGTTTGCATTTATCACTGGACGGGTAGCGTCAGCATGATACCACGGGAATAACAGCGACTCACGAAGACAGGCATAGGTTTGGAGTTTTAGGTATTTGTAGTTCATTATTGCCAAGCCCGTCGAATACGCAGCTGTTCGTAACCAGGTATGTACGATAGATAGCTGCTAATAAAACCGGCTGGCTTGTTCTTTTATTTATTGTGTGGACTGACGGTTGAGGCGACTTTGGTGATATCGCACCTTGATCTCATAGGTGATAGTTGTACCTTAGGTGGGCTACACATTCTGAGGGTTACATGTTTGGACGCTCAACCCGCTGGGTATGATTCATGTTTTACTAGTATTCAAATATCGTCTTGTTCCTAAAAATTAGAATTATATCATAAATGAAGTTCATGAGATGCTCTAGAAAGTTGATACGCAGGTCTCATCTTTCCGGTCTACAATTCTAAGCTAGGTTCCAGGCTTATCTGAACTTCTTACTGGCCTCGACAAAGCTCATCCCTTTCTTGATCGCCTCTGCCATCTTATCATCCGCGTCAACCTGCTTCTGCATCAGTGGTAAGGCTTGCTCCGCCAGCTCAGCAGGTAAGACGACGACGCCGTTCAAGTCCGCAATTAGATAGTCTCCCGGTCGAATATCCATATCTTGCTCGTCTGTTTGCAGTTTCACAGGCACGTTTACGGCAGCTACCTTGAGTAGTTCAGCCGGAGGTGCCGTCCCCGTCTCACGGGCAAAGATCTATGATTTTTAAACGTCGGTAAATATGCAAGGGGAAAGGGGGCTTAGATGGTTATTTGGAGAAAGTCATACCGGGTACTCTAATTCACGCTGCTCTTGCAAGTCACGGAAGCGTCCGTCGATGATAGACCCGACGGCGCCCCTAACTCGGGCGCGAGCCGACATTAAGCCTCCGTACACGGCATTCGGAGTTTTGGGAGGGCAAGAAACAAAGACTACAGCGCCCTTAGGTACTGTATCAATCTTGTGACCTTGATTAGCACCTCTCTCCGCTACGTAGGCTTTTCTTTTTTCTTTCTTCTTCTTCTTTCAACGTACATAGTGGGTTGGATGTTTAGGCGAGGGATCGTCTAACGGCACGTACTTAACAGTATAAGCCGGGCCTACGATCTTGGTAGGACCATCCTGGCGTTGAGGGGACCACATGGTCAAGCCGGATAAAAACCCGCCATTACGGTATTTGAGCTTGCATAAGGCGTCTGAGACGTCGCAGCTAAAAGTTTAGGAAATTAGTTGGATTATTGGATTGGTTGGATCGGTTGGGTTATGGCGCTCGTGCTACTTTTCCTTACGTTGTGTACTTTTGTAATTCTTTAATGATAACATCTTGAGATTCTGTCATATTGCCGAAATACCGAGCTCGGCTGAATTGCGTACGTCGTACGGCGGTACCGAGAGAAGGACTTTTAAGTTGGATGCGCAATGCGGATAGCATGGAGATCCGTTATTAAAACATGGACCCTTTGTTATTTTTCTTGTTAACTATAGGATTTGGTGTATTAGGTTAGGTAGTTGAATTATCTGTTATACATTGATTATTGATAGCTTCACTTAAGCTTATGATTGCATCATATGTCATGTTATCTACTATCTAAGCACATGCATTTAATATGTAGGTTAGGTGCTAACATTATCATTATCATTATCATTATTATTGAGTAAAGCATCTCTAAGGAGATAAATATCTATTTACCTAAGGTAGTTATGACGTTAGTGGAGTTTAAAATTAAAATAAGACATTCGATTTCGGATTCGGATAGCCAAGTTACGTCATAACAATTTGTCAACTTGTTATACCTATCCCCGCAGTCGGGTCCGAGGTAAAGGTACCTGGGTAGTTATCGAGGGGCCACTAATATGAGCTCTGTCTCACTGTGTCCCTCAACCCCCAAGACCCCTTTAGTCTGCGAGATAGTAGACATTGCGGGTGGCCGACGCTCGTAAGTGACCGCGCTGGCAATGACACCGACCGCTGCAATACCAATCATGATATTAATATCACCCGTGAAAGCCGATGCGTACCTATATCAACCAACGTTAGCCTCTAACCTCATATAATATATAATATTATATAATATTATATCGATTAGCTGCTGAGACTTACACCGAGCGCACGACAAGTTTAAGCTCATCTGGTAGCCAAGGAGCGATGGTTGGGCTGTGATGTAACGCGGCTAAGTCTTCAGCGTCCATCTTACCGCCCAGTTCAACTGTTACTCTTCTGTTGAACATAATACTGCAAACTGCTATCCCGATAGCACCACCGAATACTCGAGCTTGTGCGATTGCACCTTGAGCAACGGCTAGGTCTTGGCTTTGCGACTGCACCGAAGCCATGATTGTTCCCGCCCCAAGGGAGAGTCCAAATCCAAGACCCAGAATTACCTGGAACCCATACTGCGCTTTGGTTTCCGTCGTAGCATCCTTGAGCGTGGACATGAAGCTGATGCCCATGAGTTGGAAAACTTGGGCCAACATTAACGTCCACGATGTATTGTTTCTATTGCGTGAAATAATACCGGCGAGAAAGGCGCCGAAAGAGGTTGCACCTAATAGTGGTAAAAGGTGGATGCCCGAGTAAAGCGCGCTCTCTCCGCTGACAATCTGGAACCGCTCAGGAAGGATGACGAGAACAGACAGGTAGACGAAGCCGGTACAAAACGTACATCTGTCCCTCGTTAGCCGTCTCCTTATTAAACATTCCATCACTCATACGTACATGACGCAACTCGCATATACTCGTCGAAAGAAGAGCCTCAGGGGAAATATAGGTTCGATGTGTGTCCTGCCTTTAAGCCCGATAAATATCTCCCATGTGAAGAAGGCTACCCAGCTGAGAAATGCAATTGATAAGGCTGTAACAATAGTCGTACTATCCCACCGATACGTGTAAGTACCAGCCTCCTGTAGTGAAAATACCAGCAGAGCGCATGCTAATATCACCGTGATATTACCGACGAAGTCGATTTTTCGAATCGAGTTCCACCCCCTCTGGTGTGCGATAAGTTCAGTTGGTGATGCCAGATAGATAGCAACGAGAACCATCACGCCGGCCGGGACGCTATTGCGCATGTTAGCATTGACCTAAATCATTGACCTACATCTCAGGAAGCTGGCACACACTTGATCCAAAATATGATGGTCCACTGGCTTGTCGACGAAATCACAGCCCCTAGAACGGGGCCTAACACATATGACACTGCTAATGTGATACCCACCAGTCCACCCATCAGGCTAGGTTTATCAGATGGGCCTACTTCGAAAAGTACGATCTGACTTAGGCTATACAAGCCAGCACCACCCATTCCTTGGAACGCTCGACAGATAATTCTGTCGAGTATATCAGTTGATGCTCTTGCATGGGAAATAGAAAGAGAACTAGACGCACAACTGAGTCATGGTGGTCGAGCGAGCACACCCAATAGAGAAGCTGATGAAGAGGACCCATGAGCAAAATAGCATATCACGCCGCCCGAAGATATCGCTCAGTTTTGCAAATCCAATGGCGCAGCCAAGGTAGGCCAAGAGATAGGACAGAACGACCCAAGGGGCATCTAAGAAGTTCTGGAGATCGATGGATATAGTGACAAGAGAGGTTGAGACGATGGATGCGTCTAAAGCCGAGAATAAGAGTCCTACAAGTTGACTATCGACGCTGTTAGCCTAACGCAATCATAAATCAAACAGGTCAGCGTTCCTTACGTTATAATCAGGGTTACCTGTTGCCAGCCGTGGATAGCATGGTGGTATGTCATCGTAGCGATCGACAAATGGTCGGGGAGAAAGCGGCTAGAGCAGCTATATCAAGCCAAAGAGGAGGTTTTCGGTAGTGCTACGTCGGCGGCACTGTTGGGAGGATTTAACTTGAGTTCAATTCACCCTTACGAGGATCAAGATCCTTGTTCTGTTAGTTTTGCCTTGCTTTCTTTCTCGCAGCCCATAATAGGCAGACAATTATTCCTCTCCAAAAAATTGGACGTTGAATGCTGGCGGGTAGGTAGCTACTTTCCCAACCTAAAGCAACTGTTGGTTACCTTCTGTAGGCATCTACGCTGTGTACGCTCTGGTGGTGCCTGACAGCTTATGGTGCCGAACGTCGCAAAGAGCGCTACTGCGTCTTTACTTTTTTTTTTTGCTTTTATGTTGACCTTGTTGAGAACCTTTACTAATTACAGTAGGGACGATGGGATATTTTCAACTCAAATCATATAGAGTACTAGCTATATTATATAGGCGTGCACGTATGCATATAGATACTTAAAATAGTAGATAGTGCAGACCTTACCTGACCTTAGATTTCCATGCGGCCCCTTACGTATCCGGGTAACTCATAATTACATTCTAATCTATATGTTTCTTGTCTCTTATTCCCTTCTCTGAGACTCCCTGGTCGTACAGGCCCAGCTATATATGTACGACTCAGTCTCTGGGGTAGACCCAGACTAAAACACTGGAATAAGCCTGTGAGAATCCGAGTCAACACATCCCGTCACGACGACCCTAGGGACGGACAGGGGCTCAAATACTCTCTATGGACTTTTGCTTGGTTTTGTCTTGACGGGGATAGCTGCCAGTTTGACATTGTCTAGTTGTTAACACCTTGATATGTAACGGCAAATGACGGGCTGATGTTGTGTAAGGTTGGACGGGAGGAACATCTACCCGGAGTTCATATATCTATGTATTTACACGGGACATAGTATTCTAACATGATTGGTTTTATTCACAACGTTATACTGAATTCACTAGCTACATTTAGGGTGTAGTTACTATTACTATTGTTCGTTTGGTATTTGTCTGACATATGAACGAGACATAAATGGCACCATAAAATATGGTCTCGAGTACGATGTTTGTGTCAACTCTCCCCCCTGACGCACTAACCTACTCCTCGTGGAGATGAAATTCCCACCCGTATGGAATTGGGATAAGTATGATCCATGCTGTACCTAGTTTTCTCGTACATACCCATGTCTGTTGTCAAAATTGGTTTTCTACCGGGTACGCTATTTCTATGGCCCAATCCTAAAATAGTTGACAATGCTGGCCCCTGGGTCCTGTGAAACGTGATACGAACAACATGATGGGCTCAGAACTAGCACCAAGTAGTAAACCTAGTAGCCGGGAGTGGTACCCCTGAGCGCCACAGAGACAGATCATGTCAAGTCCCGTTTGTGCAACGTCTGCTGTGCCCTGGACTGAGAAATAGGGTCGTCACACCCGCGGATACTTCGTTCAACTTGTTTGTCTTGCCAATAGTAGCAATTTTCTCGGCGGTCTGAAACGAAGAATATGCTATTCATCTAGACGTGACAAACATGTTTAAACAACGTGATAGATTTATACGACGTAAAATTTAACTTCTAATGCCTCTTTTAACCGCTGCCCTGTGGCTCTAAGCTGGAGCCGCAATACATCTTATTTACGTATTATTTTCATCAAGTTTGGCGAGGTCTTCTTCATAACGTGCATTCGATCATCCAAGCCTAGCCTTGTTGATATATCACATAATACCTAACATAAGCCTCCCCCTAGAGGCGCGGCTAATTCCCAGGAGTTTGGATATCAAAATTCTGGCCTTGGGTAGCTCGCTTTTGTGCCACCTTGAACCTAGTTAACAAATAGGTAACTTCAGGAACAATGTCCAAATATGGCATTCATCACATGGGGCTACATACTATTAGAGATAGATGGAGCTAGTTTCTTGGGTTCTCTAGATAATAATAGTTCTATTGGGAGGGAGTGGATTCCGACTGGTCTATCGTCCCACTCATAACCCCCCTTGGTTAGAGTATCAAAGGAGACACGTATTGACAATGTTTCTTTGTTCATGTAATTACATGCCATGGTGTTTAACTCGGTATAAATATGGTAGGATTTATGTACTTGGCTACTCGACATTCGTCCGGCCCTTGTGTTGTCTTCTCGGAGAATGGGAGTTTAAAATGTTGCCGTGAAACTCGGCTCTGATCCGTAAATGTACTATACCTACTAGTTGTGGTATACTATGATCTAATCCAACCCAGGTTCCTGGGAGTTGAATTTGTGTTGGCGCTAAGAAGAATCGAAACCATGCGAGAGGTCAATTAATATGTCATCACTTAACACCTACCGCGTGGCTCTGCTTTCCTTTTGCTTTGTTTCTTTTTTGTGCTCTCCATATATCTATATATCTATATCTCTTTGGTATTCTGAGATGCTGTCCGAATACGATGTCTTAACAGTAGAAGACCTTTAGCGCTAACTTGTATACAGACCCTCTCTGGGAGTTATCAAAAGTTAACCTTTTGTGACAACTAGATAGTTACGACTACCGGGCCGACTACCACTTTCACGAATCCCACGTGCTATGTACATGGGCTTTGTTGTTTTTATCCGGCTCTCCACGTTCCCTAGTAACTAAGCAATTCGGTATGTATTCCAATACGACAAGACTGCTTATTAATTCCCCCTACTAAGGCAGAAGCTGGGGAAATGGACAAGGATATGACGAGTAAAGCTGTGTTCAGTGAGATTTGTAACATAAACAAACAAGTGGCAACACACAATCCTTTAG